GATCAATTAGCAATATTTGATTCTGTCAAATTATATGTGTTTAATGCAATTGATTGGTCTAAAATTTATGAATATGAAATCCCTTTCAATAAACTAATCAAAGATTTATCTATAACATATCAAACTTATATTTTGGTAAACATAAATATTATCCATTATTTTCTAAGTCATATTTTTTAAATCGTGTCTTTTAAATTACTTTTTAAAATATTTATTTAGGAACAATCAATAGACTCGGATCATTTAATATGGACAGAAAATTTTGAAATGGTTAAAGTATTTAACATTATTTCTAACAGTATTATAAAAGAGTTTAAAATCGATCGTTTAGAAGGTGTTTGGTACATATATGCACTTTCACCAAAAAATGATTATTTAGTAACTGTCGGTACAAATGATATGGCAACAGTTTATTCGCTTGAGGATGGTTCAAAAATTTTTGAAAGACTTTTACATGATGATATTGGTGATGATAGTCACTCGATATCATTGGTTTCTTTCATTGAGAGGAAAAATCAAAAAAACTTTTCTTTGAAATTATTAATTTGTGGACGTAACGAGTTTAGTGGTCATTTTTGGGTATTGGTCTATGATATTCTAAGGCGTAAGAAATTGATAAATAATGTACAGGGTCTTTTACCACCCTGGTATTTATTACTTCTATGCATAATAATAATATTTAATTATTATTAACAATCCATCAAATCTATTTATTAATTGATTTATATTGTTTGTTTTAGGCCAATAAGTTTTCATAATACAACAGCTTTATTCTTACGTTGCGATGAAAGTCATATACCACGCGTAAGTTTGCTTTCCATCATATAATTTTGATGATATATATATATAAATTTCTTTAAAAAAATTATTTTTTTTGATAGGTTCATGATATAGATGATATATTAAAAAGCGCACCAAAAAGAAGAGCAACCTTACCAATTAATAGAGATTCCTTTAATAGAATGCAAACATATTATCCAATAGAACCTGAATTGATGGATAACAAAATAATCTATCATCACGAAACAAAAATTCAGCATCTTAGTCTAAGTCTTAATGGCAAATATGTTGGAACTTATAGTGAAGAAGATGGAATTATTTGTATTTGGGAGATTAAATCAGACCCTTCATTGAATTTGATCGATTCTTGGAAAACTAGCGATAGACCGAAGCACGCATATTTTACTCGTAATCAAAGTCATACTAAACGTATATCAATAGCAGTATCAAATGTTGGTGATTTGGCTTTAAGCTGTTTCGTAATTTCACAAACGACCGATTATTTTAAAATGAACCCTTTTACTTTGGATGGAGTAGCTTCTTATTCATCCCAATGTTTACTGCTTAAAGCAGGTCATCGCCATCCATCTTATAATCCTTTATTTCGTAATACATGTGGTGCCGTGTACTTTACTGAAAGCAATCATTTCATTATATATAATGTTTCCCGACTTTATTACTTTGAACTTGAAGGTCTATTTTGTGTATTAAAACATAGGTAATGATTAATTGATATTAATTGGTTTATTTATTTATCATTTATAATATTGTTGTTGTTTTATGTTTTTTTAACCCAATATTTGGATAATTAGCCTTGATTTAACAAGCATTGTAATTTCTATAAAAAATATTTATAAATTTAGAACATGAATTAGATATTATAGTTACAATTCTAATTGCGAGTACAATTTGATGTATACAACTCTACAGAAGATTAATAAGCGACTGGATGATATTTTGACACATCACCAATTGCACAAGATTTTAAGAATTGAAAATAAAAAAAACCAAAACATTACAAACAACAAAAACTACAACAGCGACAACAACTACAACTACAACTACAACTACAACTACTACAATAACAGCAACAATGACGACGACGACAACAACAACAACTACTACAACAACTACTACTACAATAGCAACAACGACGACAATAACAATTACAACAACTACTACTGCAACAGCAACAACGACGACGACAACA